GGAACGGTCGTCCAGGTTCTGAACGAGCCGCCCGAAACTCTCGTTCCGGATTGAGACCATTCTGGAAGCGATCTGCCGATTCAGATCGACCATTTCGTATTTACGCTGCAGATCCCCAGTCCGCTGAAACTGGCGTCTACGAACATTTCTGAGCCGAATCAAGAGTTTGGTGTGGGAATCAATTGCTTGAAACTTACCCCTCACAGGAACTCGTCGAACGCACTCTTCGTCAGCCACGGATATGGCTTGATGGAGACCCTCCAGGGCCCGGTCGATGTCCTCCACTGTGTCGAGTGGTGGGTTGTCGTCGATGTGGCGGTCGACCACGCGTCGAAACTGGACCCAGTTGACTCGATGGTAGTCCTTCCGCTGGCACGGTGCAGGGGCCACGTTGCAGCCCAGCTCGGTCAGCACCGGTTGGTGGTCCGAACTCAGGTCGTTGACGGCAACCGGCTTGGCTAATCTGGTGTTTGCCAAGAACAGGTCCAGCGTCGATGGGTTGCCCGTCGGTGATGTGAAGGTTGGTTCGTCCGGAAACCAGACGGAATAGAGACCATGCTGGGAATGGTCGAATAGCAGGCGGCCGTTCTGGTTCTGCTGGTAGTTCCGCCAGGCCTCGTGCCGGGCGTTCAGGTCCCCTCCGATTACAAAGCGGGCATTGGTGTGGGTTATGATGGCAAGGTCGTTCTTGAACTGCTGTGCTGTACCATTGCTAACGGTACATTGCCGGGGGCAGTAGACAACGATGAACCGGACGTTTCCGGTCGATGTTTCCACCTCAACGCCGACGGCCTCGATGATGGAAGTGCGGTAGTGGGGTAGGGTGCAGTACTTGATGCCTTTCTTGATGATGACCGCGACACCGCCCCCCCTGGAGCTGGTGCGATCAAGCTGGACAATGCTGTGGTCGGGCAGCCAGAAGCTGTCACCGGTCTTGAGGTGGGTCTCGGTGAGAAGGCCCACGTCGATGTCGTGCTTGCGGAGGAAGTCTGCAAGCTCAATGTTTTTCGCCCCTACGGAGCGAGCGTTCCAGTTGGCGATCTTTATGGGTTCACGGTCCATAATTAGCGACGAAGGAGATGATAGCTTGGAGCTGTTGTGTTCTTGTTGCGCAGGTGCGCTTGATGATGATGGCCTGGGCCAACAGTGTGACGATCTCATCCGTTGACAGCGGAGAATCGTCTGTAGCTTCACCGGTTGTACCGGCCAATCCCGGAGCAGGGGGATCCGTCGATGGCCCGGAGGCTTGACCGGGTACTGCAGCGGCAGCCAACTGTTGGTTGAGCGGGAGCGGCGGCAACACTGGAATTGGCCGTGATTGGACCGGTGATAACGGAGGAAAGTTCTGCGCGTTGTTTTCTGGAACCTTCTTGCGACCGGGCTGGTTGTTGGACGAGGCCTTCTTCCGGATCTCGGCGTATTCGGCCCGCTTCGGACAGGCCTTACTCGTGGCCTTGTGGGCGGCACCGCAGTTGGCGCATGTGGGAGTGGCTTCCTCGATGCTGTCGCAGTTGTCGATCTTGTGGTTTTTGCCGCATTTGATGCAGCGGCTGGCCATGCGGCAATTCCTGGTGCCGTGCCCGAACAATAGGCAGTTCGAGCACTGAGTGACGCCACGGTGGGTGGGCTTATACCGCTCCCACTTCACTACGATGTGGAACAGTGTGCGTGTCGTCTGGAGATCCTTCACGGTTGTGGAGTTTTTCTCCAGATGGACCAGGTAGAGCTGGTCACGATACTTGATGGCCTTGCTGCGGGTCATCTTGTGGACTTCGACCGGCTTGAGGCCGTTCGCCTTAATTTCGTCCATTAAGGTGGTGGTGTCCATGTCGTGGAGCCCGCGCAGCACCACTTTCAGCGGCTTGGTGGCCTCGATGTCGTGGGAGAAGTACTCCAGCTTCATTCTGTCCAAGAGGGCCTGAACTGCGTTGAAGTGTTTTTCGGCCGGGACCATCAGTTTGTAGCCTTCCGTGCACCGTTGAATGGTGCAGCGAAGGCCCTGCTTAATGTAGAAATCCAGCTGCTCCCATAGCCCGGGAGGGAAGCCCTTCACATAGAAGGGTGGCAACTTAACTTTTTTCGGCACCGTCTCAGGGTCCGACTGCGGCTGGGCTCCGTTCTGCAAGGCGGAGAACGGATTGTTGCTCAGCAGCTTTTTTGCTGCTGATGCGGTGGCGCTGCTGTCTTCAGGTCTGGGTCGTTTAGTTCCAGGAGGCCCCGGCTGCGGGTCCGCAATGCCTGTCGGGATGGGCAATGGGGTTTTCTTCTGCTTCTTCTGGGCTGGCTCGGTGGTCGCGCCGTCTCCTGGGAGAGTCTGTTTTCCCGGTAAACCGGCACTCGCGTTACCGCGCGATTTCTTACCCATGGCTGGGTCAGCGAGAGCGTCACTACACAACGCGGAGCTAATTCGACTTGCGAACGAACGAACGAAACTAGAGAGAATTCAAATCGACTGAACTGCTCAACAGTCTGGCAGCGAATTATTGAGCGATGACTTTAACGAGTTTAGGTACTTCATATTTATACCTGCTAACCCATCAAAATTCTCTAACCAATGAGATTCTGTTTACATACGAACTATCACGCTTCACGCTCACTTGATTCTACTCATTATTTATTCAACACTAACTCTATCTACTACATTCTTCCCCTCTTCTACTCTCCTTAATTGAGGAAGGGGGGCATTATATCCACCCATTTGGGGGAATTTTATCTACCCTCTCGGGGGACTTTCATCTACCATCTCAGAGATATTTCATCCATGAGGTCATGGCAATTCCAACTATTTAAAAATTTCCTCGGTCCATCCATCAAGTCATGGCAATTCTAACTATTTCTAAATTTCTTCAGTCCATCCATCAGGTAATAGAAATTCTTATCTACCATCCGTTCCAGAATTACCAGGTCATAGTAATTCTATGTACCATCCATCAGGTCATGGTAATTCTATCTACCATCCATCAGGTCATGGTAATTCTATCTACCATCCATCAGGTCAAGGTAATTCTATCTACCATCCATCAGTTCATGGTAATTCTATCTACCATCTATCAGGCCATGGTAATTCTATCTACCATGCATCAGGTCATGGTAATTCTTTCTACCATCCATCAGGTCATGGTAAGTCTTTCTACCATCCATCAGGTCATGGTAATTCTATCTACCATCCATCAGGTCATGGTAATTCTATCTACCATCCATCAGGTCATGGTAATTCTATCTACCATCCATCAGATCATGGTAATTCTTTCTACCATCCATCAGGTCAAGGTAATTCTATCTACCATCCATCAGTTCATGGTAATTCTATCTACCATCTATCAGGTCATGGTAATTCCTTCTACCATCCATCAAGTCATGGTAATTCTATCTACCATCGATCAGGTCATGGTAATTCTATCTACCATCCATCAGATCATGGTCATTCTATCTACCAACCATCAGGTATGGTAATTTTTTCAAAATAATTCTTCAGTTCTTTAGTCATTCCACTATACTTACACTATCGTACCAACTGCGCCATTGTCGTGACCGGACCGAGGTTTCCAGTCTCTATCTACTACAATGATTAGAGATCTTCATATCAGTTTCATTTATTTAAGGAAAATTGCGGAATATTTCAAGGAATTCAAAGGAATTATGGGATATTTCAAGAATTTCATTAATTTTGCGATGCTTCAGAAATAATGCGAGGTCTTAAGGAAATTTTATAAATATGATTAAAATTTCCGGAACAATAGAAAAATTAATGAACTTCAGGAAAACCTCACGGAAGTCCAAATAAAACTAGGATTTTTGCGTGAATTGTCTACTTTTATGAATGTTCAAAATCTTCCATAGAACCACACCGCTACCTGTTTACACATGTTGCTTCAGAATAAGTGAATCGTGAAGCTCTTGAATCTTTTTTTTTTATGAATTGTCACTTCTACGCATGGCCCGGATCTCCCGAAAGATCGAGTTGTTGGCAGCAGAGTTCGCATGCTAGTCCCACATCCAAATTCATTAATTTAGCATCAAAATAAGTGATTTAAAAAAATACGGAGCTCTAGGATCTTTTCTATGAACTGGCCCCTTTACGGATGTTTTGGATCTTTCGAAGGACCGTTCCATGACCACCAGAGTGCACATACTGGTTTCAAATCCAAATTCATTCATGCAGCATAACAACAAGTTGATTAAAAAAAATCTAGATACTTTTTTACTAATTTTCCACATTTATGGATGTTTCAGGTCCTCCAGAGAAATGCTTTTCTGTCCCTTGAGTCCACATTTTTGTCCCAGATCCAAATTCATTCATATAGGGGAAAAGTTGGCTTCGGCAATACTTTAACCTATTATCGTCAGGGGGGTAAACAACGTCCTTGAGAGCTCAATTTTGGCATGTGGATACATTGTCACCCCTATTCTGTATTTCGTTTCGAACGAAATTCTCATACAAAAAAATATTTTTTTGTATGAGAATTTCGTTCGAAACGAAATACAGAATAGGGGTGTGTGTTTCAGAGCAACTATTGGCCAAATTTGAGTGCGCTAGGACTTTGTTTACCCCCTGACGATAATAGGTTAAGGTATTGCCGAAGCCAACTTTTCCCCTATCACAATGTTAAAATGAAAAACTTAACAAACATTTCATAGATAGCAACGCTTGGGCCGGTTGCTATCGTGCTGCTATATTTGTCAACCCGCTGTTCACCGCGAGGCAGATTGTTATTTCCCGCACTTGAAAAGCAACCCCCAGTGCGGTGTTACTGCGTTATGGTGGAGGTTGCTAAAATAACTTTAGCAACGCATTGGTGCGGGTGCTCTTATAAGGGGTTAATTCCCCTGTCAAGAAAAGTCTGCTTGCATCTCTCACAAAATGTCTACCTGATATTGATATTGAAGTTCCCAGCTAATGTCTTCTCCCTTACTAGAGGTGGAAGCAACTCCTTTCACCATACCGTCAAACCTGTAAAATATTCATCCCATATCATCAAACCTGCAAGCGCAATACTCACCAACCGCACTCAGCGACGCCTGTTCCCCGGAGGCAGCCATGGCCGCCGCGGCTGCAGATTTGTTTTTGAAATTCTTCTGCCTCAAATTGCCCGCATTCGGTAGCAGCCCTCCGGTGGTCATTTCCACAATTGTTACCGCCGGTGACAGCAGCTTACTATTGTAACTCCCGTCGCCAAGGCTAATGCCCAACTCTTCCAGACGCTGCAGTTGTTGTTGTTGTTGTTGCTGCTGCTGCTGCTGCTGTTGACTCGATTTAGCGCCTGTACCAGCCGTTGCCACCCCACCCCCGTTGTAGGCAGTACCGCTGATGACCTGAATAGCCGGCCCGGAAACGCCATAGCGCTCATCCAGTAAATTGTCCGACTCGTCCAGCGACATCATCTCGGTCATTTCGCCGCATTCGCTCATAAACGACTGGGAGTGGGACGAGCCCAGGTAGCGAAGGCGTGGGGACCGGTTCGTGTTCTGCTGATGTTGATGATGATGATGATGTTTTGCCATTTTGTTGGTCATCTACCGGGCAATAACAACAATTTTCAGAATCTTCCGGGGGATGGATGGTAATGAAGATGTTATTCTCTTAAATTGGGGTGGTGCTTTTTTCACCTTCTGCCGCCTAGGCTCAGGTAGTAGGGAGTGAACGAACGTTGAGGCTTAGGTATCCTGATACGGCCGGATGCCGCCACCGCTGGTGCTGCTGCTGGTCTGTGGTTTGAGTCGCGGTTGGTGTTTCGTGTCAGTGAGTGGTTTACTCAAATTAAGAGTCATTGCCATCTAGGAGCACTTGGTGGTTCTAGGGTTCTTGTGTATTTTTTATTATATGCCTCCGCGGAGAGGTGTGACGATGGTGAGCAGGGTTTGGACAAATTAATTGGCCATTAATCTTGAACCGTTGTCGCTGCGGCTGCTTTCACGAGGGGGAATAATTAGTCCTGCTGGTGACTTGCGGAGACCTGCGGAAGTAATGAAGATAAATACACGCGATTAATACTGGTGAATGCCAACGGTCTGGGAGAAATTTTAATGTTTCGTGAAAACAATACTGTTGATTGTAAAATTGAACGTATACCTAGGCTTACCATATCAAAAACTTGAAAAGGAAGACATTTCATTTGAGGTTTGGAGATTAAGGAGGACAATGATTCCTTTTCTTAACATTAAAGAAGGACAATGAGTTTTTATCAAACGTTTTAATAATATGTGCGCTATCACAAAATTCATGATTTGCTAAGGTTCAATTGAGAGGGTTCATAACTTGTGGTAGATATCAATTTAATTCATGAAATGAAAACTGCAGCTTTACAGCCTTAAAACCATCCCAGCCTTTATCATGTACAAAAATCAGGATACATGTCATCGCTGATTGAAACCAACATGGAACATCTAAGCAACCTGTTAAATTTACCAGAGAGTTTATCGAACATTATAATTTATTTTCGAAATGTCAAATTTATGTAAAAATACAGAAAAATTGATGAATTTTCACTGACTCTTCGAAAATAATATATAATATTCGAAAATCCATCTGTTGTTGATCGTCCGATTTTTGAGAAATTGATTGTCAAAATTGATTCCTGGTTTGTCTGAAATATGCAGGTTTATTTAAAAAAATTCCATACGTCAAATTTAGGTTAAATTCACGAAATGGACAGCAACCTTGATCGCAGCCTAAAAGTGGCGAGTTGACAGCTGTAGTATAATCCTAGTCCCACCATCGAATGGCATTTGCTAGATAAGATAAAGTTGCGACATAATTAAACAAATAAGCTCTGCAAACAACGCTTTTTGAAAACAATTTTATTAATATGTTACTGGAAAAATGCAAGGATTAAAAAGGAGGACATTTTTGGGCAAAAGGAGGACGTAGAAAAATTATTGAAAAAGGAGGACATGTCCTCCTTTAGGATACTATATGGTAACCCTACGTATACCTGAATGGATTTTTTTTTAATTGTGAATAGATAGATTTTTGAAAGCTTGACTGGTAGTTGAACAAGCATTTATTGATTTATCGATATAGTTTTGGACTTTATTGGAGTAATTTTTTAAAACGCAAACAAAAGATAGTGTAAAAAAAATAATTTTTAGGGAAACCCTAATCCAATTCTGAAAAATTGTTCTAAAATGAGAACGTTAAGAGAAAGACGAAATGTTTCTTCAGCAAATTTGCTAAGAATCAACTTAGCTACTCGGAAAAAAATCCGTTCCCGAAAACGGGAACGGACCGTGAACTAAAAATCACGGCCAGCTATCCAGAACAAAATTTTCTCAATTATACACCGTGAACTATGGTTCACGGCTGTGGTTCACGAATATGGGAACTCTTTTTTTCCCGTGTACAAGTTTGGTGAGAAACAAATGTCTACGTTTTTTTTAAATAAGAAAGCTTGTTTTTAAATGTCAGTTAATTTGAGGACCACCCTCATGTTGATAAGTACCAAATGAAGGGATTGTGGGCCCAGGGCTGAAAGTCTCCTTAATAAAGATATAAAAAGAAGGGATCACACAAAATCTTCACTGAATTAGTGTATTCATCTATATATTAAAACAAAATAATAAAAACATTTCCTTAATATGTATTTAGGGTGACCCTCTAAAACCCATCTTTTGCGTGTAGCTCTTTTTAATTCAAATTTCTCATTAAAGTAATTTTCGATTTTACAAAAGTAAATTATGAGACGCATGTTTTGTTATAAAAACATTTTTTGTATCTTATATAATAAAAAAAAATCCATATGTATTAAAAAGATATTATATAGAACCAGGGTTGCTTCCACTCGCTTGTTATAAAAAATTGTTTTTCGGAATTATAAAATCATTACATGTTATAATTGTATGTTGTACATTTAAAATAAAAGCGGAGTTTGTAAAGTATGTGTTTTGCTCATAACACCTGTCATTTTCGTTTTCAGAGCGTCACAATCAGCGATTTTATGATTCCTGAGCGTTTGCTCAGAGTGAGCGCTCAGGAATCGCAAAACCACTTATTGTGATGCTCTGAATGCAATATTGACAGATTTGATGTGACAAACACATACTTTCAGTGATGGAAAAGTTCGCAAAAACTCACTATGCCTCGCGAACTTTTCCCTTGGTGAACTTCGTGAAATATCGCATACTTTACAACCTCTTCTTGTAACTCAGAAGTTATAATTATCATTATAACGTGTCATGAATTCATAATTCCAAAAAATAATTTGTTATAGCATGTGAGTAGAAGCAACCCTGCACACTTAGAAATACACGTGACGGAATCCATCTTTGACATAAAGGATGAGACGTTAATAAACATGTCTTGTAAAATTAAGTTCTCTGAGACCCAAAAGTTCGTTACTCGACGAAAAACACCTTTGATTGAGCTGAATGTTGCATCTGTTATGACTCAATTTTATCTTAAAATTGACGCTCGTATACGTCAGTCTTAGAACACCTAAATTTACATGGATTTTTCTAACTGTGTGTATAGAATAATATACAGGGGAAAGGCAAAATGATCGGAACAACCAAATTTTTATCAAATTCAAATAGCATTAACTTTTCAAAAAACCAAAATAGTAGAGTAACCTGGGCAAGCTGTCGACCTGAAAAAGCTACCATTGGCACTAACTTGTAAAATCTTGAAGTTTGACACCCATCATTTTACTGGAGTCAGTATGTTTTGCTGGGTTTTTGAATTGCTGAAAAAGGTGGTAAAATTCAAATGACCGTTATCTGTAAGGAAACAATGAAATACTAAAAAAATATATTTTCTATTATTTAAAGGGTTAGCAGAACTAACCCAAGTAACCATAGGCACGTTAGTTCGCCTTTTGGCTATATACAGCCGAATAACGGCTTTACCAGTGTTTGCAAGTTCTGTAGAGGCCCGTAAATAGCCAAAAAGGTGAAAAACGTGTCTAATAGATTGATGCCAAATTTGAAAATTTCGCTCCACAGTGTTCAAACGGTTTCAAATCAAGTGAAGTTTATATGGAAATTACTATGGGAAAACAAAACTTTTTGTTCATTTTCTTCTAGCCTTTTTACATATTGTTTTGATACCAAATTTTGTTGCTATTCTCATGGGAATTTTTATCAGCTACAACTTTGCAGAAAATCGTTTTTCAGCCAAACGTCAAATTAAATAGTTATTAGGTGTTTAAGAGATTGCTAATCTTATGGCAAGATTAAGCAACTGCATTGTGGGCAAAACTGTATTCTGAAGTGTGACACAGTAGCCATAATTTCTGTCCTCTATTCTACGCGCCATAAACACCAATGTTGCCTGCTGAACAGTTGACTGAGCATAATCATAAGACATCAGTAATTTGAATCATTAATAATGTTTGTTCTTTACAGTTGATCGAAAAGTGGTCTTCAACAAACTTTGAACCGAGAAAATTTTCAACAAGCGCAGTTATTATTTACTAAAGTAGAGTGAACTGGTGAATCTTGAGATAGATATGAACCGAAATTATGGTTACCCCATAGTAATTTCCATATAAACTTCAAAAGGTTTGTGCCAAGTAAGGTTCTTATTAAATGAGTTCGAATTTTGGGAGGCTAATCAGGACCCAATTTGGAACCGTTTGAGCACTGTGGAGCGAAAATTTCAATTTTTGCATCAGTCTACTGTCTATGGTTACTTGGGAAGTTTGAATAAATTCGGAATAAACTTTCTAATTTTTGAATTTGTTTTGGATTGTCGGAGAGTTTGAATTTCGGAATGGGAGATCAACGGTGGATACAATTCGGACAATGGTCGAGAGAGCCGAGAACGCGTCCAAACAGAAGCGAAGAGGAGATCGATATTGCGCCGTGATAACAATCGACGTCAAGAATGCGATCAACAGCGCAGCTGGAAAGCTATTGCCAAAGCGCTGCATATAATGAGGGTCCTTGACTACCTGTGCAGGATTCTGAGGAGCTACTTTCAGAACCTGGTTCTGGTCTACGAGACAGACATGAGACAGAGATCGATTTGGATCACAGCTGGAGGTCCACAAGGCTCCATCCTTGGTCCAACGCACGCCTTTGCCTCGAAGCGCAACTTCACCAGCCACGTCGAATATGTCTGTGAAAATGCTTCGAAGGCCATCAACACAATAGCTCGAATGGAGGTCCAGTCTGGTTTGCTTGGAAACTAAGCAGACCTAAAGGAAACTGAACAGTACGTTTCGGCCCATGGCCATGCAAGCCGGGAGTGGATACATAACCATCTCATCGGAAGCAGTATGCGCTATCGCCGGAATGATCCCTATCGGCATCACCCGGCGGAGAACAGCGAGTGCTACAGTCGGAGAGCGGAGTCTTTCGATTCTTTCGACCTAGGTGAACATAAAACACGGAGAAGTTAACCACCACCTGACGCAGACTTGTCTGGCCATGGCTGCCTCAGGAAATACCTGCATCGGTTCGTACACGAAGTGTCACCCCTCTGTCTGCAGTGTGGCAACGTGAATGAAACGTCGAAGCATGTGGTCTTTGACTGTCCAAGGTGCGAGACAGTGTGAAGGGAGATGCCTGTCCTTAACGTGGAGAATTTCGTCGATGAAATGTGTCCGGAGGAAGACACTTGGAATGGAGAGATGAGCAGTGATCGCCAACTAGCACTTAGAGTATTAGAAGTGCATGAGCACAGCCCCCTCGAAGTAGTCGCTTCACCGTGGTCCCGGAGGATACAGGTAGAGGAGAGAGTAAGGAATGGGTTTAGCATTAGGCAACTAGTGGATACCAACCCGTGCCAACTTCGATACCATGTCTTTTATGAGAGTTGCATCGAAAAGGAAAGCTCTACAATGTACCTTGGTGGAACAACGAGCTACAGACACTTCGTAAAAAGAACCGAAAGTTTTTCAACAGGACTAAACGAACACAACAGTGGGGGAAATATAGTGAATCCATCACCGCTTATAATCAGGAAATACGGAAATCAAAGAGGATACACTGGAGGAATACATGTGAGAACATTGAA